TTTGACTGTGTAGGTGTCGACACCACAGTCCCCCAGTTTGGGTTGGAGCTGCCCGAGGAAACATCTCTGCCCTACAGCCATGAATAGATGGATCCTCCATGGATGTACCCAGCCCCTTGCTGGTCCTGGCTCTGCCCTCAGTCTCCAAACCCACCTGGGTCAACAAATCCCATGCCTTAATGGTGCATTACGTCAAAAAGTCCTGTCCCTTGTTCATTTTAAACCCATCCCCTGCTCATTGCAACCAGTGCGCCTGGCTCTAGTGTCTGGGATGCGGGGAACAACAGCTCTCTGCCCCTTTGGTCCACAGCCCGCATGATGCCAGACCCCCGTCCTCTTTCCCCTCAGTCCCGGCCTTTTTAGCCTCTCCTACTCTGGCAATGACTCGAGGCCCCTGCTCATTTAGTTGCCTTTCTCTGGACCTTTTCTAATTCTTTTACATCCTTTTCTACTCCTACGGCAGCTCGGCTCTGCTTTCAGCCTCTGCCACCTCCTACAGTGATAAATCCCACGTTAATAACCCACTGCATAAAAAATATCCACCCTGCCAAGCTGCAGCCCTGCTCTTACCAGATGAAGTGGTTTCCTGGGCTGGGCATGAAGTCGAACCTGGTGGTGACACGCCCGCTCTCATGCTGCTGGTAGGAGGTCTCCACGCTGAGGTGTTGGGTGTGCTGGGCGTGGTGCGAGATCCAGCTCAGCAGCCACTGGTAGCTCTTGTCCTTGCTAGGCACCTCCAGTGTGATCATGTAGTGGCGCCGGAAAGCCACCAGCCCCGCTTGGGCCCCTTTGCGAGCCAGTGCTAGGGCTGTGCCCACCCCTACCAGGCCAAAGCCTGCACCAAAGTAGGGGTTGTCCTTGAGGGCTGCCACAAAGTCGGAGAAGGGCATGGCGAGGGCTAGGCTGCAGCCTGCAGAAGCATTGCGGTCCAGAGCCGAGACTGCTGGGGAAGAGAGGAGGGAAGCGGTGAGCCCGGGATAGCGAGCCCAGGATACGGGCACAAATGGGGGAGCTGGGTCTTGAGCTCACCCCGGACCCAGCCTCTACAGATGCCCAGACGTGCAGCTGCCGAGCTGCCCAGAGGCCTCAGTCTGCAGTGTGCCCAAGTGCTGGGGGGCAGGAAGGACCCCCTGCAAAGTAACTCTCTGATGCCTCTTGAGGGGCATTTGAGAGCGAGAGCCCTCAGCAGAGGTAGGACATGCTGCCATCGTGCCCCCACATCCCCTCACGCACTGCGGTCTCAGGCCCGGGCAGAGACGGGGAGAGAGTGACAAGCACCACAGGCAGCAGTGCCCTGTTCGGGGGCCCAGCTTCCTTGTCCCCGTGATCAATGCTCATAACAGGCCAGACCCCTCAAAACGGGGCCTGTCTCCCCCTTGGGGACTCAGCCCCCACCCCAGGAAGGCCCAGCCCCCCTTGGGGACTCAACCCTCCCATAACAGGGCTTCAACCCCCCAGGAAGGCCCAGCACCCCCCCCCCTTGGGGGTCTCAGCCACACCCCCATTTAAAAGGTTTCAGGCCCCCCGTTAAAGACCCAGCCCCTCCCCCACCGACCAGGAACCACCCCCACCTCCACGCGACGCCGCTCTAGACCTCCACTTCCGGTGCACTCCATAGTTCCCCCCGCCCACCTCTCCCGGCGTCCCGCTTCCGGCTTCCGGCTCCACCCCCTCCCGGCCGACGGGCGGCACCATAG